GGCTTTCCAGACGACGTAAGTGCAACGTCGCGAGGTGCGATGCACTGTAGATATAATTGTGCGACGTTCAGGACTGTTCCATTTAGTGAATAGCATGCGGGTGAGAGAAATTACACAAATGAATTTTAAATTATGTACTCACATTTTTTTATAATTTTGTTCTTATGACACTTTACATAAAATTGCAATTATACCTAATAAAAACGAGATATTTGCTCGAGAAAAATTTATTTAAATAATTTCGAATTGTATTCTATTATATTGTTTTTAAATTAATTTATAGCAAAAAATATTTACAACAAATTAAAGCAAAAACTATATTTCGTGAAAGTGGCTTTATAACTTTATTGTTTGTTATATAATTTTTTTAAAGACATCTGTAGCAGATAATTGTATAATAAAAAAGAAGGAATAGTTTTTCTTTAGTAAATTGCAGTAAAATAATAAATTTCTAAAACAATTATTTGCGAAAATATCTTTAATTTGAAGACATTTTCTAAATTTATTTGCGGATTATATGTATATATCAACGATGACCTTAAAGTTTTTTAAAAATGGACGCAATCATCTCCAAAATTTAGACACCTCAATCATAAATAAAAAAACCAACATAGTTCTAGCCAAAAATAGAGATATATCGCTTACATCAAGCTCAGAATTCGTCGAAAAGCACTTAACATATGTAAAATGGACGTAAATTCTTATCAGTGATAAAGCACATGAATTCGATGATCGATCGCAAAAAAAAAAAAGATAAAGTGAGATATGTCAGGACCGCAAGACAGAGAGAGAGAGAGAGAGAGAGATTGAATGTCAGGAGACAATCATTCACTCGGATCTTTACCGTAGCATCTCATGATAAGAATGATCACCGGAGCTCACAGATTATAGTAAAACAATGACAATCGCACAAAGAGATAACACGCATGCAAACGATGATCAACAGGTACTGAAGAGCAACGCCCAACATTCTGCCACCATAATATATACCATGTCACTGTCTCTATCTGTCTCTCTCTCTCTCTCTCTCTCTCACTCTTCTCTCTCTTTTTCTCCATCTCTGTTAATTCTTCTTCACGAGCACAGCTGCATCAAGCTCAAATAAATCATTTCGCGCGTTTATACAAATTATTTATGTGCCTTCTTGGAGCGCTCATTTATAAATTGATATATTAGATAAATACATCCAGACAGCCAAATCTGTTAAGAATAGTTACAAAGTACCCACTGTTTGTTTTGTCGGCAGAGTTTTGTCAGCAGAAATATAACAGAATCTATTACATGCAATAGCATGGTAGAAACCGAGTAGAGTATTTTATAATGATACATTTAATTTAAATGATCATAAAATGATAGATTTTGCTCGGTTTTTGCTGGCAATCTGTTCAGATTGTTGACAGGTTCAAACTCCAATCTGCTGACAAACTAGATCTGTTTTCTTTCCATAATTGCCTGAATTTCTTACACATAGTTTAGATTTTGTCTTTTTTTCTCCAATATAAAAAGAAACAAATGGCAAGAAGTCCTGGAGTATAGAAACAGAACAGATCTATTGGTATATTTAACATTTTACTTAATACACAGAATAGCTATTAAGTACTTTAACAGAGTTTAAGAGGTGACTATTCATACTAATTCAAGAAAACTTCATATGATCATATATCTGAAATAATTTAGTTTCAAATATTAAGGTGTCAAAGTTGAAGGTAAAATTTGGTTTTTTTCTAAAAATTTTAGAAATCATTCGAGTTATTGTAATGGAACTTCAAATATAAAGTTTTAGCAAAATAACTCAAATGGTTTTCAAAATTATTGAAAAACATAAAATTTTTCCCTCAACTTTGATATCTCTTGTATCTCTGAAATTAAGTCGTTTCGAATATACAACCATATAAAGTTTTCATCTTGGATTTTTTATGTATGAGTCATCCCTTAAAATCGTTTAGATACAATAGCCACCCTGCATAACAGGTGAGTCAATAAATAACCTTAATTTTGTTCTAAAAAATCAAGGTATACATTAAGGTTACTTATTGACTCACATTCACTACATTACATATACACAGCACATATTACATCGTTATTAACACGAAATTATATACGAAATAGATAGCGAAGAAGAGCAATCAATTTCCCTTAATTTCTCTACTTGTCCATTTACCGATTTATTACAACATATTTTCAAGAAATTAATAAGGACGTAATGTATTGGGGGGGGGGGGAGGCGTGGGGATAGAAATTATATGACGTCTCAGAATTGCAGATTACCTGTTTACGTCAGTCGGGATCCGTTGACTTGCGGATGTTGGCCGCATGTACGATGAGCATCGGTGACACGCACTGAAATACGAAATTCGTGAGACGATAATCAATCCGCGCCGACGTCACAACGATGATCCTCGCTATCCGCAACGAGGCATAACGGAGTTCTGGTCGAGTTTCGCGAGAAGTCAACAAACAACGTAGTTGCACGCAGCGAGGCGCAGTGAAGTGCACCGCGAGCGCGAGTCGGAATTGTCGGAAATGAGGTGAGGTTAGGTCGGACCGGAGTCGCACTTCACGGAATCGATACGATACGCGACGAGATCCGCGCGTTATTGAGAAACCACTTGATCACACTGGATATCACTTACCCGACGGTTAAAAGGAAATTGCGTCGCTTTTGATGACCCCATTTTCACTCCTATCACGCTCCTGAGTTAAAATTCACGAGGGTTTTTAATAGTTAGTACGAATTATACTCGTATTCATAGTCAGGCCTTATATTTAAGACCTTCCTTAAATTTATCTTTAGATACTCTACGAATTATTTCATTGGCTGCTGAGCATTTAAAGATAAATTTAAGGAAGCCTTATATATATAAGTACAAGGTCTGACTATGAATACAGGCATTAATGCCTTCAATCTCATCGCCTTAATGCTTTTCAGCAAGAGTCAAGAATCAGATATAATTAATATAAATGACACAATATAACACAGTGAATTATTTATGAGCTCTTGTTATTAAATATTAAACAAAACTTGAAGGTTATGAATGTTTCCAGCAAGAGACACGGATGACAGTTGTAAATGAATGAATCATTACACCCTTATTGTTGTTTGTCAATGTTAAACAAAAATGAAATGATTACTATGTTATATATCTCTTGCTGGAAAGCACTATAAACTTTCTCCTGCTGGAAAGAATCATATATGACACTTAGATACTAGAAATCTTGATGTTACATTCCTTTCAAATCATTTTGCTCAACTTAATATATAACTATAAATAATTCCAATTTTGTCCCAATGACCTTTCTTGATTAAATATCTTTTTTTTTTATTCTTGAATTATTATATACTTCTTAGATTTAAAGTAAAAAAAGCATATATATATATTAGTTCAGTATTTAATAAAAGCAAGAAGGAAAGTTAAGAAAATTCTAGTGCAAACTTCTAGTAAAAACAAACTTATGTAATAATTCGCAGAGATGGATTAGATGAATGGATGAATAGATAGATAGATAACTTTATTTATCTTGCGCTCCAGGATTAATCCTTTCAAACGCTCAAGCAAATACCATAACAATGTACTAAACAAACATTTACGGTAATAAATTAATAACACTATGAAATAAGAAAATTACAAAAGAAAAATGACTACATAAAAAAAAATATGTTAGGGAACAGCAGCGTGAATCGAGGAAATATCCGAAACATCGCGGAATATTTACCATCTATTGCGCGTAAACACGCCGTACAATAGGCGAGATAACGACATACGTTTGACAGGTCAGGAGTTGAAATACGCGCGCGATATCATGATACCAACCTCGGATCGCACGGTGAGGTTAGGTTCGCACGAAGGAGTTGCGCGCGCGCGGCCTCGATCGCGAGGTTGGCGTGAACTGTGAAGTTCGCCGAGGTTCGCGCGTATCGCGATTCCCGCATCGGTGTCGGCGGCGTTGTCAGGGTATCACGCGGTATCCGTCAATCAGCGAGCTACGGAGTGGATTCGCGTCGTCGTGGTGGACGTCGCGGTGGACGCGGTTGGCAGCAGTGTCGATATCGGTGAGCGAGAGAAGTGCCGTACGGACACCTCGCGCTTCCGTTACATTTTATTTGTGTGTGGCTGTGCGCGGGTATCGCGGGGGGAAACGGAGAGAGAGAGAGAGAGAGAGAGAGAGAGAGATAAAGAAAAAAAGATAGAGTGAGAAGAAAAATAAAAGTGTCGGGGAGATGCGTGTGTTGCGGCAGCGATCGAGCAATCGTGAGACGTGAGTGTTGGGCGGCGCGCGAGAACGAGCGAAATTCCGTCGTGGCGCCGAGGAAGGTGCGGAAGGTGCACCCGCAGTCCCGGTCCCTTCCGTGGAATGTGAGTAAGTGGCTCGCAAAACCGAGAGCGAGAGAAGTGTCCCCCCGTCTCCGTCCCGTCCCGTCCCATTCGTTCGTCCTTCCTTTCCCCCTTTTGGCCCACCCCCTCCTCTCGTTCGCCAATCGTTTTTTTCTCTCGCCTCCACCGTCGCGCGCGCGCGACTGCCAGAGACTTTCCGCGGAAAAGCCGCGAAAACTACGTCACGAGTGACGGATTCGGTCGAAACTGGGACAAAGTGCAGTGCACTCTGGCATTGCGCTTTACCACCAGGTGTTTCTATGCCGTAATCTTCCCAGGATTGGGTAACACTCGTACCGTTGCACCTTGCTCTCTCTCTCGGATACCCCTCTCGAAATCGCGTATTCACGCGTGAGCTCTCTCTTTCCTCCTCCCCTTCTCTCTCTCTCTCTCTCTCTCTCTCTCTCTCTCTCTCTCTCTCGGAGTATTTCGCGAAAATCCACACGGTTGACAGCGCCTGACAGAGAGATATACGGGTATCGGAGCCGCCGGAGAGAGAGCTGACAGGTAAAGGTTCGAGCGCGCGACGGCGCGAGATGCGAACGGACGCGAGCTCGCGCGTAACGTCACGGTGATCGACGGTGTTAAATGGTGAGACTCTCTCTCTCTCTCTCGCGCGCGCGCGCGCGCCGCCAAGACGCGCGATTAAAACAGCGGTTTCATTTCTCCGAGGGATTCGCGATGTCGAGAGGTTCGCTCGCACCCTCGCTACGCGCAAGCGAGCGAACGATCGCGAGTTCTACGTAACGATTAGCGAAACACGTTCCTGCATCGCGCTTCGAAATTTCGCGACGTGTCCGCGAACGTGGTGACGACGAATGGGTTGACGCTATGTAGGGCACGACGATATCGGATCGGGTGCCTCGCGCGACGAGCCTCCCGTTCGCTCGACTCGGCGAAATATGGAACGCGAAGCGCGTCAGATGATCGATCCTTCCTTGCAGTTCCCTGATAATGCTCGGTTCTCGGAAAGTTAACGAAAGACAGTGTGATCCGTTTAAAAAGATACGGTTGTATTTAAATGGGCGAATGAACGGTGATCGGTGATTTAACGTTTTTGATGTTTGGGACTCTCGGAGCTGTTATGTGAATTCAATGGATATCTGCTCGTGTTTGATGCTTAAGAATAAGCTTGATTAATCCAAGTATTTGTCGTCTTAGGTTAGATGACGGACTCAAGATAGTCCTTCCGCCTGGTAACATGTCAGATGGGGTTGACGGTGGTGGTGGGGAAAACGAGGTAGACTCTCATTCCTCCTCGCAAGCCGAAGCTGGAGACTCTTCTAATCACAGGGAAGAAGAGACGTTGGATCCTGATAACGAAGCAGCTCTCAATACAAATTATGACAGTAGCGATGGAGCTGTTCCTGCGTTTAGGTGAGATTCAAAACACAGCTTTATTGTCTGATTAATCTTAAAGTTTATTTTGCAACCGTTGAGTTTCTTCGCTGCGATAGGACTATTTCTCTAGATCTAAATATATAATCTAATTAGTACAAAGAATAGTTGTAAAATAAGCATTCTACTGAATGTAATTATGATTGCATTCAGCAGAGAAAGCAGCTTTGTAACTGTTGTAAAGTAATCCTTTGATGTGATTGGTCTGGCCCTTAGTTTTTCACTGGATCTAAATAAACTAATCATGTTAAAGAATTGTACAACAGTTACATAGTATACTGCTTTTTCTACACAGTCAGTTATCAAGCGACAGCAATCAACTGATTAGAACAATATTTTATTTTGATGCCATTTCTTGATTATATGTCTAATTTCTTTAATTTCATAGATGTGATAGATGCGACAATTATGAGACTATAAATAAAACGGCTTTCTCCGCTCACCAAGATCAATGCCTGGCGAGTGGCGAAGCTGGAGAAAGCGCTGAAGGCATAGAAGGAACAGAAAATGATGGGGATGCTGAAGAGGGCCATTCGGGAATCAGGTCTCACAGAAAGATGTTTGAATGTGATGTCTGTAATATGAAATTTTCAAATGGAGCTAATATGAGAAGACACAAAGTGGGTATAGGAAGATTATATAATAAAAAGACTTATGTTGATGTTACTTATGATACATTACACGTTTAACACTGGAAGTCATCGAGCAGTCATTATTGATTATTTCTATTTTTTAGATTAATATTATATTAAATTAATTTATATTTCTTATGTAAAAGATAGGACTCTAAAATTTTTTGACTTTTTAATAATTATATTTTTTGTATTGATGAAATATTTAATGTTTTATTACTTCTTTTATTTTTATAATAATTTATTCACTTGATTCTGTTTTTAATGAGTAAGACATGTTTGTACGTGTAATATTAATTGATAAGCATCAACAAAAGTAAATAGAATTTTTAGGTATAGAGTGATAGGCAACCTTTTATAAGAGTTACTTTCAGAAATAAGTAAAATCTTGTTGGTTACACAATGTGTATTTTGTTTGCATAAAATAGAAGGTATGATTTTATATTTTTGGCTATGTGGGTCGCAAAAAATTCACAGGCGAGCTCCAGGTTGCATATCACTGCTATAGACGATAGTGTAAATATATAATTCTTTTAAATTATATACTCTTATTCTGTTAAATAACCATTCTTTATATTGAATAAATATAATTATCTATAAACATTTAATCTATTGCATCCTCCTTTTATCTTTTAGATGAGGCATACAGGCGTAAAACCATACGAATGTCGGGTATGTCAGAAGAGATTCTTTCGGAAGGACCATCTTGCGGAACACTTTACGACACATTCAAAAACTTTGCCATACCATTGCCCGATATGTAACCGAGGTTTCCAAAGACAAATCGCGATGCGTGCTCACTTTCAAAACGAACACGTCGGTCAGCACGATATGGTTAAATCGTGTCCTCTCTGCAATTATCGTGCAGCTACCATGAAATGCCTTAGGTTGCACTTCTTTAATAGGTAAGTGCGTGAATTATTTAAGGAAAATGTCATTGCTCTCATATATCTTATATATATATATATCTTTTATTGTTCGTAGACATGGAATAGATTTAGATAATCCAGGACCAAATAGCTCTACATCCATAATGAATAGTTGCACATCCGGGGAGGCGATGCCTTCGGCACCTCTGTCTGATAGCGGGGATAGTACTGGCAACCGTTCGACCGATAACGCCACGCCCCCCATGCATTTCCTCACGCCCCACGTGGAGATATCCATTCCCTACCCCGAACAAGCTGCCAATCAACGAAATCCAAGTCCTGCCCCGTTGAACGGAGACAGTCCCAATAGTCCTCAGAGCGCCGACAGCAATAGCAATGCACCAAGCAGTAGTCATCATCAATTATCTATCAATAGCAGTACCATTCATAGGTGAGCATCTAAAAAATCATTAAATTAATTAGTTTATTAATATTAAAATTTATTAATATTTATTGCAATGATTAATTGGTAAAAATTATTAAAAATTCTTTATTAGAAATTTGTATAATCTTTGTATATTTATCTTTATTATTAACTTCGATTTGACTGATAAATTATGTGTGCTTATAGTTTAAATATTAATTTAGAAATGCCGACAATTAATTACGTTCCAAATGACATAAATTACAGATCGGATTTTCGCATTTTTCTTAGGAACGTAGGCGGAGGTGACGAAGCTATTACACCTTCGATCTCCTTAATACCCATCAAGCAAGAGCCAAACAGCAACGGTATGGATGATAGTGGGGCGACATCGAGCAATCTACCGTTACCATCGCTGATCAAAGTGTCGCCGTTAAAATCGTTGCTGCGCGATGATCTTCGCCGTAAGCTTTCCACCAGTACTACCAATAACAACAATAACAATAGTAACAACAGCGGTTGCGGTGGCGGCGTTAATTCTAATCCACACTCGAGGGGCGAGCCACCCACTTCGACCAGGCCGGATCCTCGTACAAGCGGCCTCCAGTGCACTCACTGTCGCATTACGTTTCCGGATCAGACGTTGTACTTCCTTCACAAAGGTTGTCACAGCGAGAGTAACCCGTGGAAGTGCAATATTTGCGGGGAGCAATGCTGCAATCTGTACCAGTTCAACTCGCATTTACTGAGCAAGAGTCATCAGTAGCTGGGAGGAGAAAACAGAGAAGTACCCGCAGTTAAGAAATTCGTTTTCCCTTTTCCTATTTCTTCTACTTCTTTTCTTTTCCTTCTTCGTTAAATGAAATAAAACGGCAGAAGATTCGGTATGTATGTCTTACATACGTTCAGTGTTCATTAGCATGAAGGTATAAGTATTTTCTGCGACGTGTCCAGACATACTTCTCGCTAAAATATACTTTCAGAAACGCGTGAGAATGCGCCGAAAACACAACGGCAAATCAGTTGTAAATTAAATTGTAAATTATTTTTAAGAATTCGAGAGAGGGTATGTCTGTTCCCTCAGAAAATAATGTACAAAGCGCGACAAATTGTGCCTTTCCTTTAAAAAGAGAAAAAGGGAGAAAAAATTGCGAGAAAAAAAGAAATTGCCAACACACTCGTCCATCATGCTGTTATATTGTACGAACTATCCGTCCATAGGGCTTTATCGAGATATATTCCGAGCTCTATCATTAGTCTTAAATTAGTAAAGTAAGTATAGAAATGCGACAAAGGGGCACGTTGCGAATTGCCCTGTCAATTGTGAAAAGTAAAAAAAAATATATATATATATCTATAGCTATGTTGTGCTTTTATCGCAAAAAAAGTGCGACATTAAAATTTCATGTATTGGGTCGGAACAAAAGTTCATAGAGCTATGAATTTCGTTACAGTTGCTTAAATGTTAAAAGTTAATAAAATTTAATAAAAAGAAGAGTTTTAAAATTTAAAATCTCTTTCGAAAGGTGTCTTTTGAGTTTGGTAATTTTTGGCAAAATTTCTTATTTTGTAGGCCTGTCATGTGCGCAAAAAAGCAAAAATGCTTGGCTTTCTAACAAGCTTACAATTTTATAACAAAATCGTTTATTAAAAATATTCCTACGGTTTGTTGGTACTGAGTTATTACGGATTAAATATGCTCATAATTCTGTTTAAAAATTGTCAAACCGCAATTCAAAAAATATATTTTTTAAGCTAAAACTTTGCTCTATCGAATGATATAATTGCCAAATTTTTTTAAAAACATGATATAAATAATATGCTACGAACTTTTGTTCTAACCTGATAAATAGATAGAAACTATTTAGTTGACGATGTGCAGTTTGGATGATAGAAGCAAGGCGCGGATATAATTCATTAGAAGTTTATTTGTATTGAGGGAGAGAGAAGGAAAGAAACGCATTTATATTATTGTTTTAAGGCCAGGCCTTCTAAAGACAAAGAAAAATTGTGCAAAGTATGTAGAAGAAAAAGAAAGTATATGTATATCTTTTGTTTTTGAGTGTTTAGAGACCTATGCGCGTAGAATTTATATAGTAGAAGAGCAATATCACGAATTATCGAACAATTATTTATCCTTTAATAATTCCGCGATGTGGATTTTCACACGGATTCGAGAAGCAGCTCTATTGAGATATTGTACAAATTTGAAGGATACGAAACGTCGCGTTCGTCGAAAGAATGTCGGCGCGACGCATCGATATACGTGGATACTGTTGTATCGCGACGCGACAAGGTATTTATTGCCGCGAGTTCCATCTATTCTTCTTTCTCCTTTAGATAGGAACGTTGCGTCGCAGTGAGAAACTAGTGTAAAACCGCGAAGCGAGGATGTACAGGACACAAAAGCTAGCCGGGCGTGCGTTATTAATTATTAATACGACAGGGAGCAAGTTCGAGAGGTGTGACTTTTTAGCCGAGGGCTCGTACGTACCGGGCAGGTATCTCGATCCGTTCGCTTTGGCTGGAGTCGCCTCTCTCTTCCTTTCTCACCTTTGATTCGATAAATATTTTATATATAAATATTTGTACAGAGAGAAAAAGAGTATTAGAGGAGAGAGAAAGCACGAAGGGAAGAACATTGAGATAGCGTATATATAAATATATATACATATATGTATGTATACACGTAGAGTCACATACATAACAGCAGACACACACAGATATATGTATACACGGATATTATTACATATGTATATATATATTATTACATATACATATATATACAATATATATGCCGTCTCACGCAATGAGACGAAGAAATACACGTACACGCGGACACTGCTGTAAATGGTTGTAGTTATTTAAAATAACTATTCTGTATATCGCATAGTATTTAATACGATTACAATTATTTATTAGAGTCTAAGTAATTTATTATTGCTTTGCATTCCAAGAGGACCGGAGACCACGGGACTATACGATTAAGCGAATGTCTTAATATTAACAGTGCTTTTCTAACAGAGCCGATGTCGCATAATATAATTTACAACGGGTGAATTTTCACGTGTAAAACAAAAAAGGAAAAAAAAACCAATGAGCGCCGAGAGAGATTCATCGGGCTGATCTTTCGCGCGTAAACGAATGCAACGTACACGAATTATTACTATCTTCGATCGATATAATGTATTTAAGAGCTGTCGCGAAACTATCACTATTTTGTACGCAGGGCACGTATGTTCATTATTAGGAACACGTTCGTCATTCGCACTTTCGATCCTTATTATTAAATCATTGACGTACAAATCTTTTTAGATACCTTTACAAAAAAAAAAAAAAAAGAATGCGCGCGCTTGTCGTACTCTCGTGCGGCTCCTCGGGGCGGAATTGTGAACAAAAAAAGTGCCTGATTGGGATTATTTCATCGAGGATAAGAGAAAGTTGCGTATAATTCGTGCGAGAAGAGGGATAGGAGGCTTTAGTCGAAGAAAATAAGAAAAAAAAGAGAAAGAAGAACGGAGAAGAGAGCGAAAGATGTGATTAAAAAATGCAGATGTACTAGACACAGGAGCGTGTGTTAACTCGTGTTCACACCATATGTGCTTACCGCTTTAGCGTATATAGCGACGCCTTTACACTGTGATCACGTTTACAAAGAAAATAGTCTTAAAGCTAGAAGATAGACGTAAAGGTATATATCTTAGGGCAAGCGAGAGTACGACGAGCACAGCCTTGAGTGTGAGACAGGCGTTTAGACACTCACGATAAGCCACCCACACCCACCTTATTCCCTCGACTTCCCCTTTCCCCCACCTTCCCACAATTTATTTATACATACGAATAAAGATATATTTAAATCGATAAGAATGGAATAAAAAAAAATATTGTTGATGTTACTACGGTGTAATGGGTACAATCTAAATACATGAATATTATGTATATAAGGAATAGAACGGAGAGAATTTTTATCGTACACGTCTTATTCTCTTTCTTTCTGGCTCACCAGTCTCTAACTTCCCTGCAATAGAATCCAGGCTTTGTGCGTGACGGCACGTATAAGCTCGTAATTTACTCGTTCTGTTACCTCGTCAAGGATTACTTTTTAGGAAGTTTTATACACAACGCAATTTTCAATAATAGTATCGGAAATGTGTAGATAAAATTAATTGATTCCATATCTCTGCGTCTTAAAGCGATATACGCATAATTTTCCAGAAATAGATGTATAATATTATTTGTACCGTAATTTTTAAATTTAATATCTATTAGCAAAAATATCGAATGATATTTGTCCAGTTACAACCTATTTAAAATAGAAAACTTTCCGCAAAAATCAAGATTCAAAATATTCAAAAATAAATACAACGTCATTTTTTTTTATTTGAGAGAAAATAGGCGTTAATCATTTTTTAATTGAAAGTTATTTAAAATAAAAGACTTTCGAAAATTAAGTTCTAAAATATTTAGAAAAATATAGAATAAAGAAAATGTAAATAATTCCGTTATATAATATTTAAAATAGAAAGTTTTTCGAATTCAGTTTTAAATAGAATATTTAAAAATAAATGACAATATTTGTATTCTCTATTAGTCAAGGAAGTAATTGGACTAAAAGTTCACATGGAATAATAGCCTTTCTCACGTCTTTATATTGCTAAAAAAAAAGTTGATATAAATCTCCTGTCTAAATCTGAACATCCTACATGTATTTTTTATACTTGACATTTCCCGGATATCGCAGGTTCTCCTTATGTGTCTCCATCTCTTCCAGGAAAAAAATAAAGACAGCCTATCGATAAATGTTATAATCTTACTTTATTGCTTGCGTTACCATGCGTTTATGAATACAGAAGCGCTTTATATTACAGTGTTCGTCGTGTTAAAGCTATCAGAAAGAGGAAGAGAGAAATAAATAGAATTCCCCGGACACGACCGTGTCCGTGTCGTTCGTTGCTCGAGTTGCCTTCGAGCTCCGGGACACGGCAGGAGACATCGCGTCTCCTCATAACGGTTTTATTTAATTTACCAGGGACAAATAAACAAAGAGAGAAAGAGACAAGCTGCATGTAATCTGATCAAACGCGTGAAAAATTTCAATTTGTTCATTGTTTTGTTGCACTCTCTCTTTCTCTTACATAAAATAATTTCGGTTTTGCGCCAACGATAGTAGATAAATGTTTAACGTGGAGTAATTTCTCTAATTGAGCATTCTCTGAATTTTCAAATTGCACCATTCAGATGTTATAGCACCATTATAATATACGTATAAGAGAAAGATCGGGTAATATATCGGACAGAGCTGATATTGGACAAGCATTGTTAAAAATTTTATAAGCGTGTGGCAGCATTTGTCAAATCAATGACAAATCTAGCTGCACATGAAAGCCAAGACCTTTTTATACTGAGAACGAAGTGTTACTAAAAAAATGTAAGATTAAAAAGGTGACTTGGGTGTAAAAACAATGTCTCATATCATATTACACTTAATTTTTGCCGTCCAAGAAAATAAAATCTTCAAAAAACTCTAAGGTGTCAGATTCACCTGACCTTCCCTTACACATCATGTCAATTATAATAAGAAATTTACGTAAGAATTTACTTTTTATAAGAAGATTTAAGATTTCACAATCAAGTTGTAATTAATCGATCGATTACATTAAGAGACAAATTAATAAGTTTGAGTGATTTAACTTAAATTTTAAGAGATTGTTTTTTGACAAAGATTCGTTTGTCTAAAACATAAGAATACATTTTAAGAATTGATTACATTGCGACGTTCTTTACTAATTAGCAATTCTTTCGTTTTTTTTTTTATTCCGATAATCATAATATGCCTGGAAAGAGATTCAAAATATTTAGTTCATCTGCAAAAGTAACGTTGGCGCAGCCGATCCAAAGTGTGAGTATTCGATTGCCTGGTTGTAACGAATTACACATTATACTTATAATAATATTACAAAATAGACGTAGTTCGACTTAATGCTTAGCTCCTGTTCTTCCGAATGTGCTGAATTCTTCGTCAAAGATAGACGAATTGAAGACAGTCAACAGAATCTGATCTGCAAGACTGTCTTCGGAATTATACTAGAAGATTTTATAATTTTTCGTTTATCTCGACGAGAACATCTCCAGAAATTTTCCCGCGAGTTTCTTCTCCTCGCGAGGCTGACTTAAATTGAGAACGCTTGAAAAGCGCAAAATCGATTCTGTTAGATCCTTATTAGATCCTTGTTGTTGCTCATCGAGAGAATCCTCGGAAGAAAGTACTGATTATAGTTCGTTCGGATATCTTTCGTGCAAAATGACTTTAAGGCCGGTATTCGTAGTCGATTCTTATATTTAAAAATCTTAAGTACATTCTTAAGATGATCTGAATCAAATCAGAGAGCTGCATTTCTTAAAACATTACTTAAGATGATCTTAAAATAAAAAACAAACTATGAATATCAGCCTAAATTTATGAAAAAAACGCACGACTTCTACCTAGCAAGTCTAAGGATGATATTCATCGTCCGTTCTTATTTTAATACCGTTCTTGTAATGTTTTAAAACGCTAATACAGTTCTCTGATTGATTCACGACATTTTAAGACTGTACTTAAGATACAAGTCTTAGATACAAGATCCGACTATGAATACCGTCCTAAGAGTGCATTTCGTTTAAGGGGATCTTCCGGACTGGGGATCCCCGATCAATCGCTCTGATTCGTCTTGTGACTGAGAATGGTCTCGATGTTACGTTGAATCCGTGCGATTTGCGATCGCTTACTCCTCGGTGTCATTGTGCCCCCCTCTTCGATGTACAAGTTGCCGGTCGCTGCCTCCGGCCAGCCAGCCGCCGCCGCCGC